AGCAAAGAAATATTTCTTTGAAATTAAAATTTTTTTTCAGTGTATGCAAAAATATTAAATATTGAATATTAATTTCTTATTTTTTTATCGAACGTAAAAATTACATAAAAATATTTTCCCTGGGAAAAGGACAAGTTAATTTTTTAATGCAGTGATGTCTTTTATTGATTGCGACTCTTACGTGCGAATACAACAAGATCTCGTTTTAACAAAATTCGACGAAAAATCAGCTCCAACTTTTTATCTCCTTTGAATTATCAGCTATAAATTTTAGGACTGACATTTACAGTAATTTTGGATTCTCAAGGTGTGCGTGGGCAGAAGTTAACGGGGACAGTAGGTAGGGATAGGTGACGAAAGTGAGGGTGAGAATGGAGAACATCGATAGGAAGAAAGGCACACGACCTGGTGAATCGATTACCCCGAAAAACATATATTCACCTCTCGGCGAATTGCCACGTTTAATTACATGGACAAGGGCTGATGTTTTTTCATGAAGCGGTCGACTATTATTTTAAGAAATAAAAAAACTACGAAAATGTATCATTGTAGCAGGGATGAAGATCAGATTCTGAATGAAATGAAATATTCAGGGATATCGTAAGGTGTGTCGAATTATGAAATAATGCCTCAGTGTAACGGCACGTTACACGTCGATATTTAATTACTCCTCTGTAGCAAAGACGATCCCTTGCGAAGCGAATTTAATGACAAAATAATGTAAATTTGTAAGTACATAAATTTGCTTACGTCACACGAATGGTAGTTAAAGTGACGAATAAAAAATTATTTATAACGCATACTTTCCTTTATTAAATATAATGTGTTATAATAAAATATTAGAAGCATTTAATTGTTATTAATGAAGTACTGTGGACACAACACATCATTAAATAGACTTTTAGGATATACAATAGAATATTCTTTTTAGTAATCTTTTTTCAGCTTATTATATTATTTATTATATATAGCAATTAATCCTTTAAATAAAGTATTTTAATTCTTATTATGCTTTATTATATCATTTCCCTCTTTTATATTGTAATATAATAATTATGTAGTTCAGTGAACAGCAATAACAGCAAAAGTATAGCACCTCGCGTAAATCTTAATACTCGCGTGAATTACGAATTTAGAGATGAATTTAGAGACTCTTCGAGAATAATTTATAAAATTTCGGATTTATACTGTTACCATACAACGTGAATGCCAAGAATAACATGGCGTTAAAAATGCTGACGTCAAAACTGCAGAGAAGCAAGGAAAACCTATTAATGGCTGAGTAACGGTCGCGTTTGTTACAGGTCAATATAGAGCGCAGAAAAATATGGTTGATCTTCTAGACTGGGATAACGCAACAAAATGCAAATAATTACAAGATAATTAGATAATAATTTAGATCATAATGCTGAACAGACAGATGTAACGGCAAATTTCCCTTCTTGTGATTCTTCTCTTCCTCTCTTTCTCTCTCCCGAATTTTGCATGATCAATATCGTTTGGCCCATTCCTGTCAAATTGAAAATTGCATTTGCTATTCTTCTGTCACTTTATACCACATTCTATATATATTTTAAGCATTTGAATATAGATTTCTTGTTTCGACTCTAAATTTTGTAACATAAACAAAATACTTTATTTCTTAAGAAAACAAATAATATTTGCAATAAATGTTAACAGAATATAAATATACAAAATTATAGCACTCAATTATTTCACCGTAGTGAGTATTACAAAATAATTACAATTTTTTAAGGCATTTTGTATCTTGCAATGTGACATCTTTAATTATATATTATTTAATTTATATATAAAAAAATACAATAACGATTCTGTAGCTTGCATCATCATATTATATAGACTTCCCGGGAAAAAATGTTTCACATGTACATATAATCATATACATTTATATAAAAAATTGACATATTTTATACAAAATGTGTCCATTTATATAACATTTTTTCCCGGGAATTATTATAAAAATATACAGTATTATTTTATTTCTCGTTGGAAATAAACAATAAAGTCTTTGCGCTACAATTATTAGCATTGCTTAGAATATCTCAAAATACTTATAGAAATTTCGATAGAACCGAGATATTTTTTACAATGTGCACACACTGGATGCCTTATCAACAATCCTACAAGATAGTTCGCAGTTTACCGAGTGTCACATTCGCTAGTATTTTTTCTAAAACAAGAAACTATTAAATGTAACAAAATAAAAATTAAAATCATTTTTTCATAAGGCCGGTCTTTTTTTAATTAAATTTCTTGTGTGACTCATTCAACTTTATTTTTATTTCTCCAAAACGTGGAGAGAAAAAAAGAAGAGGGATGAATCGTTTCAGCTGAAAAGATTTCTGATTCCACATAAAAGTTAAAATGGAGAAGAAAAAGAAAGATCCGATAATGGACGGAAATCGATAATTTATTATCGTCGGATCTTTCTTTTTCTTCCCCATTTTAATTTTTTTTTAAAGATTAAAGATTTTTCATCGAATCGTGGAATAAATTTCTATTAATTCTTGTCAAATCCCTCTGGTTTGAGATGAACTTTCACTTTCGTGTTTTCGTGACTCGGTATCGCGAAGCGATCGTTACGCATGCTAGTAAAGACGGGGATTCGGCGAATTAAAAACGATAACCAGTTGAGTGAGTTCAGGCGACCCCGACAGCCTACTTGTCACGAAGTCAAGCACTGACATCCGCGGAGAACTGGTGAATTGAAATTTACCCGGCCACGTGTCAGGTGAAGCACCCGAGACGATAATATGCACGTGTGTCCGTACGGCTCGTAACTGGATACGAAACAAGAGGGTTCCATTGGGTTATCATAGGGTGATACGAGGCCACGACTCCTAAAGAGTCTACACGTGACGCACTTATAGATCACAAACGTTGTCATGTTTCAGAATAACATCGATTCCTCCCTTTTCTCTAATATGTACATGCCTATCGTTTAATTATAAAGCGGCAGAATAACTCTTATATAACTCTTAATTTATTACTAAAATATATAATAAAATTAAATTTTTACCCTTCCTTACTTTTCCGCGTTTATTAATAAATTTCCTTTTATTATTTTGTAATTTTCTATTTCTATTTCATGAGGAATCTTAATGATACCTCTTATTACAAAAAAATTTGTTAGCAGCTGCTGGTAGTTGCTTTATTGCGTGATGCGCATGTCCTAAATAAGATATGTTCTGTTTCATACATAATGCGCATATTGTAAAAAGCCCAGGAGATTGATATTGCATTGGAATTTGATCAATCAAAACAAAGTTTACAAAAATTAATATTAATTTCCTTTTTTTTTTTATTAAATTCAGTCCAGTCTCAGAACCACTTCGACCAACTACGATTAACTTTAATCGACGGTTAGTCCGTGGAATCTGTTGTTGACAAATGCGATTGGTGAATTCCAACTAACTGGACTAATCATTGATTGAAGTTAATCGGAGTTGATCGAAGTGGCCCACGATCTGCATCTTGAAAATTATCTGCGATGAAAATTACAAAAATAATCAAATTAGACGTTGACCTATGAAATTATAAATAAACATTATAATAAATATTTGTGCACTTTGTGACTTTAACTTCGTTTCAAGATACAACAGAGCTTTTATTCTTGAAAAGAAACATTACATATACTATAGCACTTCCCCACGTATTTTTTTTTGTATACGTTTCTTTACGAAAATAATAAATTATAGATTAGCAAATTGTTCCATCGTTCCGTCTGCAATTTGACAGCTTTGTTAGAATGCAGAGTTAGCTTGGATCTACAATAGATTTTTAAGCCATAAGAAATGGACGAATCATAATTATTCTTGTCGCATTTGGCTGTAACTGGTCAGTTTCTTATGGCTTAAGACACCTATTATAGATCCGAACTTAGAATATAAAAATTTATAATTCTGTCGCATACTTTGTTTTCGCGCCATTTTTTTTTATCTCGATGATGGGGATAAAAAACTAGCGCCAATCAAAGGAAGAAGGAGAAGAAGAAGAAGAAGAAGGACCTATGACGAAACATTCTTCTAGATCTACAAGTATGATCCAATCAACGCGAAGAAAATTTCCAACTTGTAAATTAAACATTCTGCTGAACGCAGCCGTTGGTTATCATCCTTCTACTTAACTCTCGTATCTGACACAACAGAGGAATTGTGAGATGTGCTTTTGTAAAAAGTGGAGTACAGCCATACAGGGAAAGTCCCAAGGTAAGTGCCCTGTCAATGAGAATCTTCCCCTAATCCTATGTCTCATCTCCATTTGAATTTTGCTAATTGTCTAATCGAAGATTCAGATGCTGTTTCAGAGCACATTAATTGTATTTTTAGTTTTGTTTTTTTGAAGTTTTTTTGAAGTTATTTGAAGTTTTTTTAAGTTAATAATAAAAATTTTATCTTCTTGAAAGATCAAAGATGATGTAAAAATTCTCAAAAAAGAATCTCAAAAGAATAGACAGTTTATGTTAAATTCAGTTTTAATAAGAATGTTTTGTTGTCTTTCAGAAATGTCAAAGTAGCGAAATAAAGTTTTTCAATAAAAGATCTCAATTTGTTGAGTTTATTGAAATAAATTAGTTTTGTATTTCATTTAACTTATTTGCACTTATTTGTATAATTATAAGAAAATGAGGATAATTGTGTTAAGTCTTATGTCTAAGTTACTGTCTTTCATTATTAACAGGTATATTTCTAATAAAGAACAAAAAGTATAGATATTGTGGATATTGATTTTAGATAATCAAGAATTGTTTTTTTCCAGATTTTTTTATAATTTTTTATAATTTACTCAGATATATGCACGTTTTATTAATACTTTAAATTATATATACGTGATATAATTTGTAATAAAAGTTTATTAATTATTGTGAATTAATCTATTTTTAGGAAAAACCATATTTAAGTTCTCGATATAAATTAATTGTGTATTTTGAAGGAATAATTGTTAATAGTTTGGATAAACAAAAAGATCTTTAGAATAAAATGAATTTTTAAAGTGAAGTATCGGATGATATCGATAATTCTTTTGAAGTAAAAACGTTTCCTAATATCAAAAATTCAGATAGCGAGGAATTTAGGAAGGTACAGTCAAGTTCTTTAAAAGATTCTCATGTCTCAAAAAATGTAAATAATTATGATATTACATCTGAGAGCAATGTCACTTTAAACAAAATTAATCATATAGTCGAATTTGATAACAATATCGCTTGCGAAATTATTCAAAATAAACGAGAAAATGAACCTGAAGAATTTTCTGCAAACATTAAGATAACAACAAACATTAAGATAACATTAATAAATGTGACAAAACTAACTATATGTTAAAAGAAAAATTCTATTCTAGTTTAAATTCGGTTAATTTATCAGAAGTTATTACCTCACAAGATAATAGTTCTTTTCTTTCTTGTACTAAGCAAGCACAATGCGCACTAATCAGATTAAAAGAAATATTTCGAGAAGTCAAATACAGACCAGTAGCGATACATCAACAGAAGAATCGGACGATAGTTCGGATGAAGTTTCGAGTAAGCGACAAAAATTAAATGAAAGTGTGCGCAATACCAATGAAGGAAACTTAAATGACAATACAGTGACGTTTCAAAGAAACACATTAATAGCAGAGCAGCAAAATTATCATTTGATAAGTGAGTCAGTTGAGAACGAATCATCGAATACAAATTTAAGAGCAAGATCAGAAACTACTAATAATTACCAGTCTACTTCATACAAACATGAAGGTATTTTTATACTTTTTCAAATTTTTTATTATTTGGTAAAATGTGAAAGTTTGAATTTTGAACACAGATAATGGGAATAAATGGGAAGCTACTAAAAAGGATGAATGGGAGAAACAAGAGAAAGATAAAGATAAAGATAAGAACAATGAAGAAGCCGATAACTTAAAAATAAGAAAAATATTTCCTAATTGGCATATTGTACCGGAAGTGATAAATCGTCAAATAGGTAGCAATCAATTATTCGAAAGACGATTCTATAGTTCTTTATATGCAGTAGAACACCTGCAACTTATGTATAAACTTAATGAATCCATATTGGTAAATTATTCATCTTGTAAATGTTATACATTGAACTACGCAGATTTATATATTGTATTGAAACCATTACTAAGTTATTCTTGTATTATTAGTTAATGGTATATATTTGATTATTAGTTACAGAATTATCAAATAATAAAACTCTTAAATTTTAATCACAAAGGAAATTTATTAATGTGTGTCATTTGTGATATGATTTCTATTTGGGATTGGGCTGTAGGAAAAAAAAAATATTCTTTTACAAATAAAGATAACTTCTTTATATCAGATGTATGTATTATAATTAATTATAGCATTAGATTGGAGATTAGAGTGTTGTATAATAATTATTTTAATGTAATTATATTAAAAGAATATGTTTATTAATCTTTTTCTAGGATTCATTCCAAAATGTCCTCTCCGAGAAATATTTTACTCGAAATATATAATATACGTAATATATACTGTATGTATATTAGAGTAAAATCTTCCTCAGTGGAAGACGTTTTTGGAATGTAGCCTTAATTAGTTTTCTTAATTTATAATTGTATGAGTTTAGACCAAATGGCTGTCGTTGGAAAATCTTATAGCTTTTTCTGATAATTTTTATCAGATATATTTGCTGGATATTGAAAGCAACATATCGATGAAATTGGCGACACACGATGGAATCTTGAAATTGGCTGTGCATCCTGAAATACCTTATGTAATTTTTTCTGCTGGAATTGATTCAAGAGTGTTATCCATTGATATCCGAGAAAGCAAACCAAAAGAGTGAGTAATCGCAATTAAAAAGCTTAAATATATATTTATATTTTTTTATGTAAGCTATGTTTATACCTTACGGCATATCCACTGTATTAATTTTTCATATTAAGAGTTCATTTGTGATTGATACTCAAGATTATTCAATACTTGCTGAACTAATCAAATTACAAGTAGGCTCAATCAATATCTATCTTCGGTTTCAGTTGTATGATAAAAATGTTTTTTTTTTATATTTTTTTAATAAATCCTCTATAATATATAATTTTTTTGTCCATAGGTTATTTGTAGTAAAGGAAAATTTGTTAAAAGTACCATTACACAGTATAAATTTTAATCCTTCAAACAGTAATGAATTATGTGTCGCTGGTCAGTCCTACTGTGTCATGGTATACGATCAGCGAAATGTTTCAAAACCGCTTTATAAACTATGGCCTAATTATGTAGTACGTCTTGTATTAAGTCCATTACTAGAAAAAAGTTTATAATGAAAGCAATATAATAATATAAAATATAATTTGTTTACGTATATGTTAAAAATATAATTTGTTTACGTATATGTTAATTAGAGGAAAGCCTCTTATTATGAGATAAGCGCCTAATATGAGATAACAGCGTTTTTATTAAACTAATAAATGCTATCTATTGGTTCCATCATGAATTTTTTGCTCTTAGATTGAAAATTATTTAGTAGAAGATTTATTATTAGATCATGTTTGTAGTTTTCATTGTAAAACAAGATTTTAGAATTTGGATGTCTTCAAGTTTCATTGAAATGAATCTTTAAACCTTGTTTATTATTTAATAAATAAATATTTGGCAATAAATTCTTCATGTAGTAATAGAGTAAGGTACTAATAAAAAAAATACGGGATATGTTGAATTGTTTAATTATAGAAGTTAGATTTGATGATCGTAAAATCATAAGGCGTGGAAATCGTAATATGAGATACCTAGGGTATTTATAATATGAAATAATCCATGCTCCTATGTTATAATGAAAATCGGTGCTAAAATATAAATTTTATTAAGCAATAATAAAAAAGACAACCGAAATGAACGTCGAGTGCCTATTTCTGTGATGTTTCATTCCAACTATCTTCTGAAGAGTTCTGGGTACAATCTATCGCATGCTCACTTTTCGCGCACATGTTTGTATTTTAGAAACATTAAATAAAGTTTTTTAATTGCAATATTGATATATTTTGCGTTTTACTATCGATTTCTCGGGGCATCTCATATTACGAACACAATTTTTTGACTCTGCGATTTACTCACTTTTTACATTTCTTTAATTTTCAAAAAAAAATAGAATTTAAATTAAATTTTATATAATTTTATATTTTATCTTAAAGTTTAATTCTCTTCAAAATGATCTATTATTTTTTTAAATTCTGCCTATATTTCCAGCATTTACCCAAAATGAATTCGATATCTCATAATAGGGACCTTTCCTCTATTATATTATATATAAATGTTTTAGGTAAATAATGATTACGTATTTGTAACGTCTGCAACGTATAATTATAACGGAACAGAAATTCTCGTTTCGTATAATCATAAGGAATTATTCCTGTTTAATAAATTAAAAACATTATCATGTGGAGATTACGGCCATATGTATGAAAATTATGTGGATATATCACAACCGTGTAGGTTATATATAAAATGCAATTATTTTATAATTACATTGTTTTTTATTAACGATTATTATAGATCTTTTTAATTCTTAATCATTTTTTCTTTATGCGCGTTTAATTAAAAAAAAACTATAAAATTATAGTATAATTATATTATAGTTTTTCTCTAAAGTTTTTTTCTCTAGTTTTTCTATTATATTATAAAGTTTTTTTTCTAAGTGTATCATCGAATCTTGTTTCTGTATATTAATATACAAAAACAGAATTCGGTGATACACTTTTGAATTAATTTTCATATGTGTGTTGTTAATAACTTATTTAAAAAAAAAATTTCTATAAAAATGTCTCTTCTAAAATTTGTTATAGTATGCTATAGTTGAGAGAAACGATATTTTATAGAGAAACGATATAATAAATAATTCTGATTTATTAATATTTAATTAATTATTCATGCCTTTTGGTTAATTATAGTATATAATGGTTATTTTTTCGGACCTAAAAGCGAATATGTTATATCTGGATCCGATAATAATATATTTATTTGGGAAAAAAATTCAGAATGTATCATACAATATATGACAGGAGATACACTATTGGTAAGTTTTTCTATTTTATAAATTTAATATAAATAAATTTTTCTTATTTACAGTATAAACGAAAAAATAATGACTCTTTAAAATTTAATTTATATATTTATAGGTAACTCACTTGGCGAGTCATCCGCATATTCCCATTCTTGCGACATGCGGATTTGAGAACAACATTAAACTATGGATGCCTTCGAAAGGAAAACTTTCGGTAATGCAGTCATTCGGCAATGTACGTATGTAAAAATTATCTCTTTATAAATCTCTTCCATTTTTTTTTGTTATCTTAAGGATGTATCATTTAAAGACAATTTTTAATATCACATTCTTGATAAAAACAGTGGAACGCAGTAATGTAATCACATCGATGAATTCATATGTTCCCTTTTTTTCACAAGTCCCACGCGAGAAATAGGGAGAAAAATAACAATTTCTTCCTCTGATTATTTGATTAAGCTCTACAGAGACATTATCTGTCATAGAGAAAAAAAGAGAGGTAGATTAAATTGATTATATATACACTATCGTGTTTCTTTTACAGCATTTTTTTATGGATGATGATTCCATTATATTACCAACCAAATCGAGATGAAGATATCAACGATAACCATGTCATCGATGATGATGATAGTATTTAATTCCAATAGCTCCTGGTCGGATAGCTCTATCGAAAATAGTCTATTCAAATGCGGCGACGTTGAAAGAATACAGTGTCTTTCTTAAAACTGGTGTTTAAATTAATGTGATTTAATATTGCGATGAAATTACATGTATAAAACATATCTTTTTATATTAAAAAGGAAAAATTGCAAAGCGATGAATTAAAATTGTAACCAATTAATTAATTAGAAATAGAAATATGAATCATTTAGTAATAGATATATTCGCGCATCAGTTATCGTGCTTTACTTCTGTTTTTCATTTTTCCATATTAATGTTTAATATTATCCCAAGCAACGAGTCACGATAACGACATCAAAATGATATTAAAATGAATCGAAAATGATTGAAAAATGACTTTTGAAATGATCATTTTGAAATCATTTTGATATCATAATGACTTTTTCTGCTTGAGATAATATATCATATATAACTTATTGCACTTTTTTATATTAATCGTTTCACAATTATAATAAATTTTACTGAATAACTTCACATAGTGAAATATAATATATATCGCCGCAACGTCGTATCGAAGATGCTTTGCATTCTAGTTATTATTGGTCTTTTATATTGACTGAAAATGAACTATTTCATATCTCCTAGTACATATCTTGAATTATACATATTTATTGTATTTTTATTGTTTATTGTTATTTTTTAATATATGCGTTGAACAAAATAAAATTAATTAATAAAGAATAAGTGAAAGAAGAGAAATAAAAAGAGGAACATATTTTAAAAATGATAAATCATAAAATATGCAGAGTACGATTTTTAATCTTATTGGTAGTATCTCAATATTTTCGAATTAAAAGAATTCTAAGTAAAATATGTCGTTTTGATAATTTAATGACGAAGACATAAATTATTTTTTACAAGTTAAATTTTTAAAGCAATACATATTTTTTTTTTTTAAAGAAATACATAGGTTCTTAGGATCCATTAAAGATATTTTGTTACTATTTAGTTTTATTTCCTTCAAGAATTTGTTAAGTTCAATTATATATTCTTAATTCATGATATTCTTAATTCATGATAAGACTGTTTAAAAAACATTAAATAAATTGAGAGAATTTATTGCTCTTAAATAATTCGAGAGAAACTAGTTTTGTTAAAAACCAAATCTTTTGGAAACGACTGTATAAAGGCTGAACTTTTTATAAATGATAAGGCAAAGTGATCGATATCTTGACTTTCGTAAACGGATCCTTCGTGATTCAATCGAAGCGACAAAAAATCCTAGGAGATCCAGCAGCAAGTAATCCAGCAACGGCGAGAAATAAAAAGATCAAGCATAGTAAGATTTCATTATTTCTCTATCGCACAAAAATCATTTTAAATATAAATGACTAGTAGTATAAAGAGTACTTTGATAATGAAAGATCTCTTATTTTTGTAAGTAGCAAATATGCTACAACGACGTTCATTATATATTTTCTCTTGACATTTTAATCTATTGTAAGGAGCATGAGAGAGCGTGAGGTAGACTTTCTATCTGCCTAAATTATTCTCCGCCGGCAAGTTGTACGTGCTGGCAAGGCACTAATGTGCGTGCTTCGACGAGTCCTACCATCTAAGACGTAGCCGCTCCTACTTACTTCCTCTGAATGGACATTGCAACCGATACTTTAAATGCAAGCCTGCTGTTGACATTTGTTTAAATCTTACTTAGTATACAATACACTTTGTACAGATTTTAAATTTAACTCTTTCTAATTTTAAATAGTAATTTGTATAAAATAGAAACTATAGACGTTATTAAAACAATAATAAAATAATTATTAATTTAATTAAAGTGACATTATTTGAAATTAAAATACAAGCATTAAAAAGTTTCTATTTTAACATTTTTATTTAATTAACTTATCATATTACTAAAAATAATCGGAAAAATTATTGTAATTAAATAATTTATAATTTATGACAAATATATATAAAATACATATAAAGAATATAACTAATGATT